ATAGTGTTTGTCATGATTTCATCACTAATTTGAATTTTGAATTCAGTAATTTGAATTTTCTTTCTCCTTCTCTTTGTTAGTGTGACTAAGGGTTTATCAATTTTATTTATTTTTTCAAAGAACTAACTTTTTATTTTGTCAATTTTTAAAAATTATTTCTTTTGTTTCAATTTCATTGATTTCAGCTCTGATTTTAATTACTTCCTGTCTTCTACTACTTTTGATGTTGATTTGTTCTTCTTTCTTTAGGGCTTGGAGATGTAATGTTAGGTCATTTATTTGTTGACTTTTTATTCTTTTAATGAATGAGCTCAATGAAATGAACATTCCTTTTAGCACTGCCTTTATACTGTCCCAGAGATTTTGATATGTTGTATTGGTGTTCTCATTGACCTCTAAGAATTCTTTCATCTCCTGTTTGATGTCTTCTGCTACCCACTGCTCATTCAACATCATATTACTTAGTCTCTAGGTGTTGGGGTAGCTACTATTTTTTATTATATCATTGATTTCTAGTTTTATTCCATTATGATCTGATAATCTGAGAATACAGGATAGTATCTCTATTTATTTATTTATTTATTTATTTTGTATTTGCTGAGAGTTTCTTTGTGGCATAATATATGGTGTATTTTAGAGAAGGATCCATGTRCTGCTAAGAAGAAGGTGTATTCACTCCATGATGGAAGATATACTCTGTATATGTCTGTTAAGTCTAAGTCATTAATTGTATTGTTGAGTTCTGTAATTTGTTTAGTTTTTGTTTGGACTATGTATCCAGTGGTGAGAGAAGTGTGTTAAAGTCACTCAGTATTATTGTTTTGTGATCTATTTGCTTCTTGAAATTGAGAAGGATTTGTTTGGTATATGTAGAACCTCCATTGTTTGGGGCATAGATATTTATGATTGTTATGTCTTATTTATGTATAGTTTCCTTAAGCAGTATGAAATGTTCTTTTTTTTAATCTCTTATGACTAACTTTGGTTTATCTGATATTAGGATGGGAACCCCTGCTTGTTTATGTGGCACATGTGAGTGATATGTTTTTTCCCATCCTTTAACCTTCAGTCTATAGGTGTCTTTTCCTATGAGATGAGTCTCTTAAAGGCAGCATATCGTTGGCTTTTTTTAAATCCAATCTGCCAGTCTATGTCTTTAAATGTATAGATTTAGGCCATTAACATTCAGAGTTATTATTGAGACATGGTTTGTATTCCCAGTCATTTTGGTTTATTTTTGGTTTTTAACTTGACTTGGTTTCTCCTTTGATTGGATTTCCTTTAGTGTAGTTCTTCCCTTTGTTGATTTTCATTGTTGTTTTTTATTTCCTCCTCATCAAATATTTTGCTGAGAACATTCTGTAGTACAGGCTTTCTCATGGTTAATTCTTTTAAAATTTGTTTATCATATAAGGTTTTTATTTTTCAATCAAATCTGAAACTTAATTTTGCTGGATATAAGATTTTTGGTTGGCATCCATTTTCTTTCAGAGCTTGGTATATGTTGTTCCAGGATCTCCTAGGTTTGATGATCTGGGTTGAGAAATCTACTGAGATCTGAATTAGTTTCCCTCTGTATGTAATCTGAAACTTTTCTCTTATGGCTTTTAAAATTCTATCCTTATTCTGTATGCGAGACATTTTTATTATAATATTCGTTGGTGTGGATCTGTTGTAATTTTTGTACATTTGGTGTCCTGTAAGCCTCTTTTATTTTATTTTCCAATTCATTCTTCATGTTTGGGAAATTTTCTGATATTATTTTATTGACTAGATTGTTCATTCCTTTTGTTTGTATCTCTGTGCCTTATTCTATGCAATAATTCTTAGATTTGGTCTTTTCTTATCATCCCATAATTCTTGGAGGTTCTTTTCCAAGGTTTCTCACCATCTTCACTGTGTGGTCAACTTTATTTTCATGATTACATATTTTGTCTTCATTGCCTGAAGTTCTGTCTTCCAATGATCTAGTCTGTGGTTGATGCTTTCTATTGAATTTTTATTTGTTTTTGTTTGTTTGTTTGTTTCCTACATTTCAAGGACTTCTGTCTATCTCTTTCTTGAAGTAATATTTTGCTACCTGTATTCCCTCTTGTATCTCTTTGTTGGAGTGGTCAATTGTTGCCTGTATTTGTTCTCTTACTTCATTCTTTGCTTTGCAGATCATTTTAGCTATGTACATGCTGAACTCCTGCTCTGACACTGCATCTACTGTGCTGTCAGTGGAATCTATTWTTGTATCAGTTCTGGGCACTCTCCTCCCTTGTTTCTTCATGTTGTCCCTGTGCCTTCCTCTCTAGCAGTGTGGATTTGAGGTATTATAGTTTCTATCTCATAATCTTGTAGTGTCCTTGCAGGTTACCAATACCTTGCCTGCAGGAACCTGGAAGATGGTCCTGGCTGTTGCCACTAGGTGGAAGCCAGTGGGTGAAGCCACCCCACGTGTTGATAGATGAAGCTGCAGAGCAGTTCCCATCCTCCTACCCCACAGCGGGCCGGAGTCGCTCTCCTCCTACCATGTGGTGGACTGGGGTCGCGGTCATCTGCTCCTCCTCTAGTTTTAATATTATTTTTTTTGTATGTAGTTAGTAACTTTTAGCACCTTGGTTTCTCTACAAGTAAATAAGAGAAAGGCAAGTAGACTCTGTCCAGCTTACAGTTTAACGGGAAAAGCCTTATGTTAAAGTCACTATATATGGCACACTTGAGCTTTTTGAAAATATCATCTGAGATACAATAAAAGAATTAATAAGAAAAGAACAGAACTGGAATTAACTGCAGGAAAGCTCCTAGGAAAGATGACTCACTAATTCAGAATGCACAGCTCCTAATTAAAGTAATCTGGGAGCAACACATTTCATCCTCTTAGACCACCTGTCTCTCTGTTAATCCCCACCCACCCTGAAGCCTTGCAAAGACCTCTCACTGGGATAGTTTCCAAACCAGCTATTTCTATAAAATGACAAATTTGTTAGTAGATTTACATGGATATTTCTCAAAATCTTTTCCCAAAATTTTTTCCTCAAAGTTCAGAGCTGGAAGGATGCTTCCAGATCAAGCTCTACTCTTTTATCCCAGACATGTGAAGATTTAAGAACAGTGAGAAAGTTAGTTGCTGCTGCCATATCTCCAGTCACCACCAACAGCACTGATGGTTGTTTCCGGCTCCTTATGCTGAGTTAACCCATTGAGTTCCAAGATTTCAATTCTCAACTATTTCAATGAAATTGACAGTTGCATTTACATAGTTTGGAAATCATAATCTAGACTTTACATATTATTATTATATTATATATCATTATAACATAATTGTAAAATCATCATTATAGAATTATATTATCTTTTAAAATATGTATGTTTTTAGTTGTCGATGGACCTTTATTTATTTATTTATATGTGGTGCTGAGAATTGAACCCGGTGCCTCGTGCATGCTAGGCAAGCGCTCTACCACTGAGCCACGACTCCAGCCCCCTAGAATTATATTGTTTACTCTAAGTTTTTGTAGGTGTTCCACCTCTGGGATGATGARTTCTAAAGGACTGATGACTACTATTGTAAGTTTGACTTACAAACTATGAAAAAAAAAAACTGTTTATAAGCTTCTGGCAGCTGTCTCTGGTGAAATCCTTAGCAGTTTGAGATTATTAATGTTGCCATTAGGGTGTGTGTATCATGCCTATACTAATGTCATTAATCACTTTCTTCCTGTTCCGTTACTTTTGCTCAGTTTTTATTAACTATCCACCTTCTATTACTGGCATAGACCTGAGCCCTGTATGTAGCAAGGCATGACTCAGGGTAACACAAAAGAACCCTCTCCAGTGTGTGTTAACTTCATTGCTTACAGCCTCTTGTATTGACTTCATGCCCGAGTTAACCAAAGGTCAGAAATAGCAGTTTGCAGCTGGCCCTGGGGTTGACTATCTTGCCATCTTCAACCCTTGACATCAGTAGCAGCATCAGACCAGTAGGGGGTGGAGTAACTTCGAGCACCAAAGTCTTGTGCATTTTTATATTCTTTACAAATGAGGTGTAAGTCACTTATTATATAAACATCTTTTAAAATATGTATAGAAGCTACAAGATTTATTTCGAATTAATTACTATGTTTTTAACTAAACAGGCAAAACACAAATATTTTGTTACTTGTAATAAATTCATACAATACAGGTAAAATGGAAGTTCCCCCATCCCTACCTCCTCACCTACAAGAAACTGTTAGCATTTTTCCATACTTTTCCCCCTATGCAGTAAAGTCATTAATGCACTTAGAAATATGAATTGTTTTTCATAAATAGGATCATACTTTATCTTACAACTTATTTTTTCCACTTAACACATTTTATGCTTTTGTGTTTGTACACATATTTCATATTTATATTATTTTCTCTTTTAAGAAGTTGATGCCTAGGGTTTCACTGAATGAATGTTGCATGGTTTACTTAAGAATTTTTTTTTCTGTTGGAACTTTTAGTTGCTTTGTAGATTTCCACTATTACAAACAGCGGAGTCCTTATGACTCTGCATTTCTTTAGCGCAGGTCTCAACTGGGAAGTTAGGTACATTTTCATTATTTAGGAAGACATTAACAGGAGGCAGAATAGAGGGATGCCACATGACTTGAGGATTTCTTGCTCAGTAATAATGACAGCACTGTGGTCTGGCTGACAGCTGTGCCAGAGGGACAATGCTGTTGACGTGGACACACAGCTATGCACACTTACCTCACAGCTGCAGTCAGCACAGTAGCTCCTTTGACTCAAAGTCAAAACCACAAGGAGACTGACAACCCAGTGTCTGCTGGGAAGGAAAGTCCTGCATTTGTTAATGAGTGGGATGGTGTGACCGCTGTAGGCAGCCAGTAAAATGAAGGAAGGATTGGAGTGAGCTGTTGTGGGGTTTCTGATTGGCAGGTCTTCCCACAGCTGTCCATTAGAGGCAGGAGGCTGTGTGGAGTGCTTCTGGTTCCTCATGCATGATGTATTGTCTATTTTTGCAGTTGGCCGCCCCATTCCAGTTCAGCAGACTCTGCACCCAACGCCGGAGCAGATTGAAGAGCTGCATCAGACCTATATGGAGGAACTAAGAAAATTATTTGAGGAGCACAAGGGGAAGTACGGAATTCCAGAGCATGAAACTCTCATTTTTAAATGATTTTACTCTTGTAAGGCATTAAGGAGCACAAGAGAACATCCCTTGAGAGAATAAACACTTTAAATAAGTTTATTTTTTTTTGTTTGTTTTTTGTTTTTACCTTTGGACAATGGAATCAAATTTGCAACTGGAAAATATCATTTATGGTGACCCATGTTGATGTTTTATCTGGGGTAAATAAAAATGTGGTAGATGACTGTAGGAAAAGGTTAGAGAGGACTAAAAGATTTAATAATCTTCCTCATTTAGGCAGAATAAATCATTTTACAGGTTATGAAAAGGTTTGGAATTATTCATGTATTCAAAAGAAAAAAGTGACAGCTTCAAAATGTCATTAGCTCCTTTCACTAATGATTACAATTATCTAAGGTGGTGTTTTTACTAAGTCTAACAGCTGTGGTTTAGCACAGCTGGAGCATTTAGGATACAGTGCATAAAAAATTTGCCATATAAAGAGTTAGAGAAATTTTTTTTTTCTGTTTGAACAGACCATTTGTTAGTGAATAATGTCACTTTAAATGCTTAGATAATTTGATCCTTTAGATCATTTTTATATAATAGTCCAACACTTTTTTGCCATTTTAGAAATAGGATGAGTTTGCCCCAAGGAAACCTATGTGGACATGAGCCTTATTTTCTCGTTTCTATTCATGCTTAGAAACATGTTTACTTGCTATAAACAGGGACATTTGTTTGGGAGACATGATTTTATATATGTTTGAGGACATTGGAGATTCTAAGACTTTTTCATGGTAATAGAAATGCTTTTAGTTTTCTTCCCAAATGGACTCTTCATTGTACAACAAGCTCTGGAAGAAGGCTCCCTCTCTGGTGAGAGGTATCCAGTTCTTAGCAGATGGGGGCTTTATCTTCTCTGAATCAGATTGAGCAAGGACCTTGTCCTTCCTGCCTCCTGGTGTCTTCCTAGTGACACTTAGTAGACACAAAATAAATACTTGTTTAATGAAGGTATTTATAAGTGGAACATGCAAACAAATTCTTTGCTATGATGTGAAGAAGCTCTAAAGCTATTCCATAGAATGAAACCTGCTACAAAAAGATCATTTGCCCTCTGATTTTCCTGCACCAGTAATCGACGGTGCTATGGGCTGCTTAGAAGGGAGCAGGTCAGAGGAGGATTTTGATAATTAGCTATTAAAGTGTTAAGGAACTGGGCAGCAAGGAGAATGCTTTATTTCCACATGATCTTCCTTCCTAGACTTTGCTTCTGTACCTTCTCTGTCCTGGGTTTCGTAAGCAAGCTTGARTTGCCTTCTGTCGGATTGGGAATGCATCTTCAGGTTCCTGATTGTTAAGACATTAAGCTCTGAGCTGGAACCTGAATGGGGCTGCCTTAAGCAGAAAAGCATTTCACACACAAGAAAGCAAACKTTTTCAATTGTTCTGTTGGGACAACAACGGTATTTTGTCCTGAATTCCTTTGACTTTACACAAACTGAGCAAGCCAGGAATCCATTGACCCGTGGCCTTGAAACCAGTTCAGATTTTTTGTTTTGTTTTGTCAAAGCAGGACCTTTAAGTTAATTCAAACCCATGAATTTCGTCCCTTTGAAGAAGTTTATTAAAAACCCATGACGCGTGATCACAGAGGTATGATTTTAATCTCACACTGAACATCGGGGACGCACTGACCACCCTTCATAGATGGCTTATCTAGCAAGCAGTTGAAGCCCAGGCTTAGTCAGTCAAGAAGAGGCACTAAAAGTTCTCTCTCGTGAATTTATCTAGATATGGGCAACTTTAATTTTGGCTTGCATAAAATGTTAATTTTCGGTAAGTGCATATAGCAGGGGGTGGGGTTATCGCTTCACTTCTTAGGGTGTCCAGAAGTCCTAGTCCAGCCAGTGCCAGTGCCAGGAGTCATTTCATATACTCAGGGGGTAGGAGTAAATTCCAGAAAGTCCCACAGATTACAAGTGAATTTTTAATAGGAATTTTTAATAGGTGGGCCGTGTTTTATATTTGCTGGTCTGCTTTGGTAGAGATCACTTCTGCTAAAAAGGTTCCCATCCACTGTGTATTGGCACATAAATTTTAAACAGCAAAGCAAAACAAACACAACAACGAAAATAGCCCCAGAGTACCGTCAGAGAATCTGGGCCTACTGCCTTGGGAAAATATGCATGTGCACTGTTTGATTTGGACTTTTCTTTCTCCTCTGTTGTCCTTGCACACTGGGGGCAGGCTGAGTCATTTCCTCTGTCTTGCAGCTAGGAGTTTCTGAAAGTGTCCCTGGCCAGCTATGTCTGTTATGCTCACGAGGAAAGTTGCTGCTTCAGGGCTTCTGAAGGGCAGCCCGTTTTGCTCATGACAAAGGGGCACCCCTGCAGGGGTGCTAGATATTTCATTGTACCTTTTGCCACCGCTGTGAAAACCAAGTGTTTACACATCAGGGACGAGGGTGAGCCTTGGTCACGTATAGGGTTAACCACAACATCCCTCCTTTCAGCAGGAGGTTATGTCTCTGTCACTGAACCACGGAGGTGGAATCTGGTTGCAATATCCACACTTCTGGAACTTTCCATGTTTTCCAAAGGTTGTGATGACTATGAAAATGGCTTAGGGTGCATTTGCTTTACATTCCTTCCCTCTGACAAGATGTGCTATTGACAGGTTTTGTTAATAAGTGGTTTGTTTTTGTTTGTTTCCACTAGCCCCAAATGGCATACTGGGCTACTGGAATAGCCTGTATTCTCATATTTGCATTTTTAACCTAAGGCACGTAACATGTGCTTGTGGGCCTGGAGGAGTTGTTTCAAGTACAGTGGGAATAGCATTCTAAGGGAAAAAGCAGGGCAACTTCTAAAATAACCAACCAGCTGCTCTTTCTTCCCTAGGATGGCAAATTCAGAAGCAGGTATTTAAAACAAAGAGGTATATTTAAAACAAAGAGGTGTATTTAAAACAAAGAGGTTTCTTTAGTATCTTGCATTACGATTCTTGAAGTTAATCCTTCCCAAACACTTCCTGCTTAATGCCTTAATGTCTTACACTCAAAGAAGAAAGTCGATCTCAATCCATAGGTAAGTTACAGGACTATGAGTTTCTCAGTAGCCATATTTGTGTCTGGTTTGCATTTTGATCCTGTCCCCAGCAGTGCAGGCCTTTAGCAGTCTCTTGGTGAACACTTGTGGCACCAACCCAGACACTGGGGTGGGTTGTGCCAGTGCAGCCAAGTTTTAGAGCTAGAAGGCACTTCCTGGTCTAATTACTCTGTCTGCAGATGCAGCAGTTGAACCCCTGTGAGGTTTAATGCAGATTCACACTGACTCCGGTTCCTATTACAGTATCCTGGATTAAACAGGAGGAACTGCTATGTTGTGGCCACTGCTTAATAAACCCAAGAATCCTCCTATTAAACCCAAGTGTCATCTAAAAGCAAGGGATTAAATGACTATAAAGAAAGMTCTGTCTTCTTGGTACTGAAAACATTTTTCACTTTTGAGGCCAATATACCACACTGTTGACTTTTCGCTTTTGCAAGAGCTATTTTGGTGATGTGAACTGGGCAAAATCCAAGTTTTCAGTCACGTCTGTGGCCACTAGAGCCTGATGTATTGGAGCAGTGGGTAAGGCAAGGTGCCACATGCCCGGGACCACTGAAGGACCCAGGAAAGGGTCCTCCCGTGTGGCGCTGTCATGGTTAGTGGGGGCCACAGCCATCCCATYATTCAGACAGGAAGTAGAGCTTCTGTCATCTCATTGACAGCCCCAAGCCCACGGGTGAGTCTGGCTCCAGCCCTTATTCAGCTGGATAATCACAGCCGCCTTTGTATAGCTCTTAGATCCTGGTTGAGAATTATCTTGGGCTTTCTTGAGAATAGAGATAAACCTGACATTCCTGGTATTCTCTCCTATTCCAGTTCCAGACCAACTTGGAGCTGTTTCCCTTTCTGTTTGGATTCCAAATCTTGCTGTGTGGGTGTTGGTGATGATGTTGGGGTGCCCAGAGACTGTTTTCTACTCTCCAGGCATTAGTTGCAGGTGGTCCTTTAAACTCTGGTCTCTTACTACCTGGCTAGGGACCTGGGCTCTGTCCTTCCTATGTAAATAGGAGTGAATGATCTCAAGGTCTCAGCTGCCTCTGGCTCTGCGGTCTCTGCATGGCATTTTACTGACATGGGAATAACATCTGGTGGGGGAGGCAGGCTTATCTGACCACTCTGCCTTTTCCATACCATTCCTGTTCTAGGGAAGCCAGTTCTTGGTGTTGCCATTGAAATTTCTCCAGGATCACAGTAACCTTTAGTCATGTGTTTCTAAGAAATAATTTAATCCTCTAAATAAAAATAAGAGAAATTTATCTAAGAGGCGTYCTCATTTATATTACTCAAGACTACAGAATAATGGTTTATCGCTTGCTACATTTTTTTAATAGGAGATGGTGAACTTTAATACTTTCTATATGGTGTGTTTCTTTGTGCCTTTATTAGCTCTCAGTTTCTAAGAGTTTTGACCCAAGCTATACATGTATGGATATGGTTTTTAGCCTGGATAGAATGGTTTTCATTTCCCATACCTTGGTAAGGGTGAATGAATTTAGGCTTGAGTATGAGTGTCAGGWTGCAAGAAAAAATATGAGCAATGCAAATTCTCACACTGAAGAGTCAATGCTTTCATGTCTTTGGATGGAATAAAAGAAAACAGAAATGGGGGTGCAGAGCAACTGAAAACAGCAGGTGCACAGGAATGAAACAAGAACAGAGACGGCAAGAGGAAACGTAGTCAGGAAATGCCGGGTCTCGGCTGTTGGCYCTAAGAACAAAGCTTCTCTGATTCAGAATGTTCAAAAGCTTGTAAACGAGTGATCGGTTACAAATCAAGTCAATCACTGCTGATAGGTATGGGCTTGCTTTCTTTTTCTTTTCTTTTGTACTGGGGATTGAACTCAGGGGTGTTTAACCAGTGATCCACACCCCCAGCCTCTTTTACATATTTTATTTAGAGACAGAGTCTTGCTGAGTGGCTAAGTGCCTTGCTAAGTTGCTGAGGCTGGCTTTGAACTCTCTT